AATCGACCGATCGGTCATCCGACGACTGAGAAGAGTTCGTTCGTTGGTCGAAATCGTCTTGCATACAAGTGGAAGTGATGCAGTGTGCGTGTGACCTTGTAGCCATGCCCTTGCGGCCAGAACGAGCGATATACACAACAATGACCAGTAATGAGTATAATATAGTTTATTACATCATCTATATACATAAATAGAGATACATAAAATATAATATGCAGAATTCTGCTTTCATTATCTCATTAGGCCAATCTACTTGTAACCTCCCTAGCGGTCTGATTATGTCCATATTTCTGTGCTCAAAGCGGTACATTTGTTTGCATGGAAATATGTATTTTTTTTATTGTAGGCCTGTAATTTTTAGGAATAACTCACTGAAATCTGTCCGAACAAGAGTCTAGTAAACATATTAAAATTTGAAACACTAAATCATAAATTATAATTTAATAAATAATCATAAAAAATAATAATATAATAATAATAACTTTAATTCAATAATTTAATCAAATCAAAAACACTGAAATTTGAAATATAGCGCCAAGTCGCAAAATCGTTTTCAGTGTCTGATGACGAATTTCCCCACGAATCATTATCATTCAATTCTGCAAGTGGTTCTGATTTACTATCGCTGTTCTCTAGCTGGTCTAAAACCGATTTTGACCTAAAGGGACGCTTTTTGGACACCATGGACGTTTCTCAGTTTCCAGGCAGAAAGAACAGTAAAAATACAGGCAGGGCACAGGACAAAGCACTCGGGACAAAATGTATGTGAAATGCTTTGATACAGTAATGTTTTACTATGTGATTTTAGTAAATTTAGTGAATGTCACTTTTACAACTTTCAAATTTCCCACCAGTTCCGGCCCCCGTACGTCCTGACGTTGCAGGGAACGGTACCTGGAAGACAGATGCCAGCATCAGCTGGAGGACATTGCCGGGGACACTGCAGGAGGGACATCGCGGGAGCGCAGGACAAGGTAAGTGAAGAAGAGATCCCGGAGCAATGCTGCAGAGTATTCCCGAGTGTAGCTCGGGGTTACCGCTTGTGGTGCTGAAACTTTCCCCTGAGCTACACTCGGAAATACCTCCAGGAAGGTTAACATTTGTATTTTTCATTTGTGTTTACGGAATTCCTTGGACATAAACATCCGGGTCATCTTTTGTTTCCGCTCATGCGTGATAGCGCTTGATAGATTTTTTTTGTACGACCATCATACCACCGCATAGAAAATCGGTCGTTCGTATGCGAAACGACAACATTTTTCACTGTTGTTCAACCGGATTTTTTCATTCACAATATCGTTATCGGTTAAAACATCCTGCTCATCAAATAAGAGAAAATCGCTCGATCAGTGGTTCCGCAAACTTTTTTGTACGATTTTGTTATCGTGTGTACGGGGTATTAGTTACTAAAACTGGAGAGAGCAAAACCTGATGCTGTTCTGCATAGAAACCAATCAGCTTCCAGGTTTTATTGCCAAAGCTTAATTGAACAAGGTGAAGTTAGAAGCTGATTGGTTTCTATGCAGAACTGCACCAGATTTTGCACTCTCCAGATTTAGTAAATCTCCCCTTCAGCAACGTTGGTGGTTTCACAAATCAAGTAGGTATGATCAAACCATCCTCTTACACAAAGCCTTGTGTATGACTACTATTCTTGTGCAGCATGTAAATATTGTACTATGAATAATGTGTGGAATAAACCTAATAGTGGCCATTAAACTGGTCATTGCCATTTAGGACATGTACAATATTTGCCTTCTGTGACAATACAGTGAATGATTAAAGAGTAGATTTCATGATCTGCCAAGTCCTAGTAAAGCTGCAGCATGTCGTAATGATTGGTCATCTCGTTGGTCTAAAGTCCTGTGATGTATGTTCAGACACATGCTAACACAGACTGTCAGTGCTTGGAAAAAGCTCGCCTGGCAGTCCAAGGGTTAGTCTGGAGTGTGAATGGAACAATGTGTTTCAACTCTGGCTGCCAGTTCTGCGTGACCTTGTTAAATTGACTTCAGTTCCAAGTAGTGCTTTGAAAGCCCTAAATCAGAGGCCCAACCTGTAATTCCCTAGCTACTGCCGTCATGTTATGGTCCTCCTCGTCTTCTAAAACGATGATATAGCACCTTTTCATATATATTCCCACTGCCAACCAATGGGGAGGGGCATTATATTGAACCTTTGCCAATTAGCAGATTGAGAAAAAGTGGGAGATTTACCAAAACTGGAGCTCTCAGAATCTGGTGCAGCTGTGCTTGGTAGCCAATCAGCTTCTAACTTCAGCTTGTTCAATTACACCCCGGTCACATCGGGTGCAACTTGGCATGCGATTTGCATGCCATACGACTTGCAAATTGTGTGCCAAGTTGCACGCTATTAGAGTGGTCATTTCAGTGCGGTTCCGACTTGGTCAGAGCCGCACCGATTTCTAAAGTAGTACATGTACTACTTTTGGTGCAATTTGCATAGACATCTGTGTCAGATGTCTTGCAAATCGCACCTGAAATCAGCATCTCATACGACTTTGAAATCGTGCGACTTCACTGTAAGTCACACGATTTCAAAGTTGGGCTTGATGTGAACGAGGGGTTAAAGGAAAGGTACAGCCAAAGCTTTTTTGGCTGTACTTCTCCTGTGGATCCCAGGAGCGCAGTTCATTCTTCACTCCTGTGACCCATTTTCAGCGGATAGTGGACATCACTCAGTTGGTCCATGTTTGAGAAAAATCCCGAGTTCAAAGTCGGGATCCACCCTACAGTCTAGAGCGGCACCTGTCGCAGCCTCTCAGAAAGCCACCCCCCTTCACAGCCCAGTGCTCCAGTGAGCACTGGGGGGGGGGGGCAGAGCAGTGAGCGGTGACTGACAGTCACCACTCTCTGCTAAGAGTGGCTGTGAGAACTCAGCGGTCATGTGATCACAGAGTTCTCACACTTAGTGCCGGCGGGGAACAGATGCAGCATCGGATCAATACTGCATCCACCTATGTAAGTATAAATAGAGGAACAAAAAAAAGCCCTACGTCTCTTTTAAGCTTTGACAATAAAAGCTGGAAGCTGATTGGTTTCTCTGCAGAGCTGCACCAGATTTTGCACCATGCAGTTTAGTGAAAAAAAAAGTGTTACAGTGCCTAAAAAACAGCCTTAATTGTGTGCAGTTAGTAAAGCCAGCCATACGTGGATCAAAATTTGGCCAGTTCAGCAGGGACCGGATCAATTTTGATCCATGTATGGGCTAGTTGGTTGTACACAAGTCAATCTACTGTACAACTTTTTACAAATGATCAGTGCTGCCGGTTATAGCCAGCAACACTGGTCATTGTATTCTGCTGGTGGGGAAGGCTCCCTGCTGTCACAATATAATAGCACAGCGGGGAGGATTCTGCCATCCATATCAAACGTGTAGATAGGGACAATGTCTCTCTCTTTTTTTTTTCATTGAACCCACTAGTTAAGCGAGAAAAAAAAATCATGTTTGGCCTCACTGATGTGTATGCATTCTTTCACTTTAGCACTAAATTGTGTACTGCGATGGATTGTGGGAGCCTGGGAAAGACCTTGGAGCTTTGAATTGCACAAGCTGGCAGGGTTATTATTATTATTATAATACAGTATTTATAAAGTGCCAATAGTTCGCTCAGCGCTGTAATATACAATGATTTCAGTGAAGTTGCTATAAAACAGAACTGTAGTGTTCCTTTTTGAAGCTGTTGAAGATTTTTTCTTTAACAATAAATAAAACATTTTGTTTTCTGCTACTCAGTTAGACTCTGTTCACACTGGCATTAAAAGTTGCAGTTTGAAGCGTGTTTTTAATGTTCCTCAAATGCCTAGTAAAGCAGTCTGCAATTGATAATATGGACAGCACACAGAGCTGTTCACATTATCATAACACAAAGGGTTTGCATTGGGTTGTGTCACTGAAAGAAAGGCAAAAAAAAGGAAGCTACATGTGGAGAAGGAATTGAAGCATCACAATTCATTTCATTCAAGTCTATTGTAATGTGCCTGTAGGCATTTGCAGCACATTTATGGTAAGGTGAAAAAAATAGGTGGGTGGGGTATATTTTTAGCATATGTCAAAAGCGCCATACAACACATATAGGGCATCTGCGTGCATTTTTAAACACGGCATTAAATGCACATCAAACACGGCAAATAACGCCCATTAATGCGTGTTGGTTCAGCATCTGTATTTTTAGCAAGCAGTGGCTAAGTGGTTAGCACTTCCACCTAGCAGTAGTAAGATCATTGATTTGAATCCTAGCCATGGCACTATGTCCTCCCTGTGCCTGTGTCAGTTTCCTCCGGGTACTCCGATTTTTTCCCACATTCCAAAGACATGCTGGTAGGTTAATTGGCTCCTGTCTAAATTGGCCCTAATATGTGTATGTATGTAAGTTAGGGACCTTAGATTCTAAGCTCCTTAAGGGCAGGGGCTGATGTGAATGTTCAATATATATATACTGTATATTTAAGCACTTGCCCTCCAGAGGATTTACCCCCTTCCTGACCAGGCCATTTTTTGCGATACGGCGATGCATTACTGTAACTGACAATTGCACGGTCATGCAATGCTGCACCCAAATTAAATGTACATCCTTTTTTCCCCCAAATAGAGTTGTCTTTTGGTGGTATTTGATCACCTGTGTATTTTTAATTTTTTGCACTATAAACAAAAAAAAAGTCCGAGAATTTTGAAAAAAACCCTATATTTTTGACTTTTTGCTATTAAACATGTCCAGTAAAAAAATTTAAAAATCTAATTTTGTCATAAATTTAGGCCAATGTGTATTCTGCTACATGTCTTTGCTAAAAAAAATCCCAATCCATGTAAATGAAGTGGTTTATGTGAGATTTATATCGTCTACAAACTGCGATATACAGTATATACTGGAATTTTTTTTTTTTATACAAAGAATGGAATTTTTTTTTTACTAGTAACGGTGGTGGTGAGCGACTTATAGCGGAACGGCGGCAGGCATTCTGACACTGGGGGGAACTGACTTGGTGTCACTGACATCCCCAGTGACACCAATTCAGTGATCAATACTAATAAAAAGCACTGACACTGTACTAATGGCACTGGGCAGGAAGGGGTTAACATGTGGGGCAATCAAAGGGTAACTGTGTGCTGTTTTACTATGTGGGCTGTGTGTGTGTTTCACTGTAAGCACATTGCTCTGTATGGTTCAGCTATGCAGAGCCATACAAAGCAGTGTGCAGGAGCTGACAGAGGAGAGATCTGTGTTGTTTACATACAGGTCTCTCCCTCTTTGGAAATCCTCGGAGATCGCCGGGTGCCCCCTACCCAGAACTGCAAAATCACACATATATATATATATGTGTGTGATTTTGCGCACCCGTGCCGCCCTGTAGCAATATTTCTGCTATAGGGCGGCGCAGAAGAAGTTAAAGTGCTGTGTAAACTGATGGAACTAAATAAGCACCTGCAAAAAAACAATGTCTTATATAAGATCCATATGGAGAGCGTTCCCTAATCTGCAATGTGAGTAAACCTTTATTATTACATTTTTTATAGGCCCAGTTCAAAGATTTCAAGATACACTGTACTCTCCACCTAGAATTTTCAATAGTCATTTTCAGGCCTTCTAACGTTCCCCGGCAGCCCTTGGTGTACGACTCTTTTTTTTAGATATTGATTTTCCAAGATTGCTGTAATAGTACTACGTAGATCGGAAGAAGAAAGACTACAGTTAAATCTTCAGCAAAATGAAAGCTTAAAGGCATAGTCCACCTTACCGCGATGATGTAATGTATTGTATTGTAATGTATTTGTTTGTTTCCTAGCATTCATGGTCTTGGTCACTCGATTTTTAATGGATGAATACTGCATTGATTACATGAAAAACATTTGTTTTCATATCTTACGAGAAAAAACTTTGTGCTTGTCCCTTCAGTTAATTTCACATGAACTTTCCTGATCGACTCTCGAAAGCTGTATACTATTGGATGATCGCTCCGAAAACATTTTTCTCATCCGATTTTCTGATTGTGTGTACTAGGCTTAAAGTAAAAAAAATGGGCGAACAGGCAGGAATTTGAACGCAGAAGAGACATACTTTGCATTAAATACTGTCTGCATTTGTCTGCATTAAACACATTTGTTTCCTGCATTTGTCTGAATACTGATATACTGCATTAAAGTTACTTACCTGCGTGTCCGCCCCTATACAGTGAGCCACAAATGCGCAGCACACTGTACAAGTTCGGCAACCTGATGGAACTCCCGCACATGCATAGGAGTGATATCATCCCCACGCAGCCAATGACAGCGGCTGGTGATCGAGACCTGGAAGTCGGCTGCATGAAGATGTCATTGGCCGGGCAGGGAGCGGAGGTACGCCACATTGCTGGAACTGAGGTGAGTATAGTTCTGCTTTAAAGACGGTGGCAAGGGATGGGGGGGATTGCAGACCATGACCGCAAACACACATATAAAAGTTGTTGTACCTGCTAAAGGATTTGTAATTATTTTTTTGTTTCATAAACATTTTATTACAGAAGTGGTTTGTGTTATGGCAGTGCGTCACTTTAACTGACAATTGTGCGGTCATGCAACGCTGTTTCAAAATGAAATTTACGTCCTTTTTTTTCCCCACGAATTGAGCTTTCTTTCGGTGGTATTTGTTCACATGTGTGTTTTTTTTTTTTGCGCTATGAAAAAAAAAAGACTGACAATTTTAAAAAAAAAAACAATATTTTGGACTTTGTGCTATAAAACATGTCCCAGTGATTGACACCCGTGGCAGCGATTGGAGGCAAGGGTAGGGTGGTCGCGCACCTTGCACGCACCCCCTACCGGAAATGCAAAATCACATATATATATATACGTGATTTTGAGCAGCGGTGTCGCCCTGCCGCAGTATATCTACTGTGGCTGGTCGGCAAGCGGTTAAGGAAAAAGAAGCAGTATACAATATTATTATTGAACATTTAACTTCCAAAAGTACATGGATATTCAGAGGAAAAGCATACATGGAGCATGTAGACAAGCCCTTGATTGAACATGGAACATGTCTATTTCCAATTCAGAGCTGATACATTGAAAAACACATCAATCGTGAAATATTGTAATTCTATTAGTAAAAACGAGTCCCCGTTGTGTGTATCACATCGCCTTTTGGGTGTTCCCTTATAGTCATGCTACATCACAGCAAACAAAAACAGAGATGATTGAAAGAAAGAAAAGAAAAAAAACAGAACTCAGATGAGAAAGAGAGAAAGAGGAGAAGAAGAAGAGAACAAAAAAAGGGGGAGGAAAGAGAAAGAGAATACAGCAGCCCTCTCGCAGCCCCCACCTGCACCACTTGCCCACTGGATCCCAACCTACCCCATCTCCCAAAGTCTAAATAAAATGGGGGTGGGAGCAGGGGTGGACTGACCATTTGGAAACTCGGGCACTGCCCAAGGGCCCGGAGTCAGTAGGGGGTCCCATGAGATGCCCCTGGTACCTTTTTCATCAGTTTTTTTGAGTTTGGGCAAGGACACAGGGGCCCCATGATCCCCTATTGCTTGCGGGCCCCATGAGTTGTCAGTCCGCCCCTGGGTGGGAGTTGCACCAAATTTCACAATTAAAGGGGGACCCAATATAATTTATTGAAGGGATCTATATTCAGCTGATGTTTTGAAATCCATCCAGCAAGCCCATGTGATAGTAAATCTTGACATCCTATCTCGAGTAATGTGAATCAATTCCTCCATCTTGTTGATTCTGTTGAACCATTCCCGTATTGTGGGAATATAGGATTTGTAATTCTATCCATCCACTTCCAAGATTTACACAGCCCTGGCACAAAGTACAGCCTTGTCTGGCAGGGCAGCACACCTACTTTTCTTTCTGCCACTGTTTTCTTACAGGTCTCCTCCCTGCACCCAGCCTTTGATTGGACAGTAAAAAGTGAAGCAACGGACTAATGAGTTCATCTTTCTGTCACTCTGCTCCCTCCTCCTGTTAGCATGCTCCTTGTTAGCACATGCCCTCTGCACCTCAAGTTTCACTTCTGCCCTTCTCTTTTCAAAATTGAAATTGTTAGCTGAACAGATGTCTATATGTGAATAGTGGATACAACAATATATTCAATTGAGGCATTCCCCACCCCGCAGCTGCACGTACTGTATACAAGGGGTGTGTATATGTGCAGCTGCAGGGCAGGAAATGCCTTGACTTATGATTGGCACAGTACAGTGACAGCTTCCTGACGGAAGAGCTTAGGTGGGTTTGCACAGTGGCTAAATGGTTAGCACTTCCGCCTAGCAGTACTAGGGTTGTTGGTTCAAATCCCAACCAGAGCACCACCTGCCTGGAGTTTGCATGCTCTCCCTGTGCCTGTGTTGGCTTCCTCCAGGTACAGCACAGTGGCTAAATGGCTTGCACATCTGCCTGGCAATACTAGCATCGTTGGTTCAAATCCCAACCACAACACCACCTGCCTGGAGTTTGCATGTTCTCCCTTTGCCTGCGTGGGTTTCCTCCCACACTCCAAAGACATGCTGGTAGGTTAATTGGATCCTGTCTAAATTGGCCCTAATATGTGTATGTATGAATGTAATCTAGGGGCCTTAGATTGTACACCCCTTGAGAATTAGGGACTGATATGAATGTACAATATATATGTGTAAAGTGCTGTGTAAATTGACGGGACTATATAAGTACCTGAAATAAATAATACTACATGCCGGTAGGTTAATTGGCTTCTGTATTAATTGGCCCTAGTATGTGTGTGTATGAATGTGAGTTAGAGACCTTAGATAGTACGCCCCTTGAGGGTTAGGGACTGATGTGAATGTACAATATATATGTAAAAGCACTTTGTAAATTGATGGCACTATACAAGTAACTGTACTAAATAAATAATAAACATGCCTGGTCTCATCCCTAGTAAATAGATCTAATCCAGTGGTGGGCAACCTTTTTTTTCAACTGAGCCAAATCTCGCCAAAACCATGATTGAAATTTATTTTGAGAGCCACATTTTTAAAACTGAAAATACATCTCCCATATAGTAATTCATCCCCCATAGTAATTCATCCCCCATATAGTAATTCATCCCCCATAGTGTAATTCATCCCCCATAGTAATTCATCCCCCATATAGTAATTCATCCCCCATCGTAATTCATCCCCCATAGTAATTCATCCCCCATAGTAATTCATCCCCCATATAGTAATTCATCCCCCATATAGTAATTCATCCCCCATAGTAATTCATCCCCCATATAGTAATTCATCCCCCATAGTAATTCATCCCCCATAGCAATTCATCCCCCGTATAGTATTTCTTCCCTCGTATAGTATTTCATCCCCCGTATAGTATTTCATCCCCCGTATAGTATTTCATCCCTCATATAGTATTTCATCCCCCCATATAGTATTTCATCCCCCCATATAGTATTTCATCCCCCATATAGTAATTCATCCCCCATATAGTATTTCATCCCCCATATAGTAATTCATCCCTCATATAGTATTTCATCCCTCATATAGTATTTCATCCCTCATATAGTATTTCATCCCCCCATATAGTATTTCATCCCTCATATAGTATTTCATCCCCCCATATAGTAATTCATCCCTCATATAGTATTTCATCCCTCATATAGTAATTCATCCCTCATATAGTATTTCATCCCTCATATAGTATTTCATCCCCCCATATAGTATTTCATCCCTCATATAGTATTTCATCCCCCCATATAGTATTTCATCCCTCATATAGTATTTCATCCCCCCATATAGTATTTCATCCCTCATATAGTATTTCATCCCCCCATATAGTAATTCATCCCTCATATAGTATTTCATCCCTCATATAGTAATTCATCCCTCATATAGTATTTCATCCCTCATATAGTATTTCATCCCCCCATATAGTATTTCATCCCCCCATATAGTATTTCATCCCCCCATATAGTATTTCATCCCTCATATAGTAATTCATCCCTCATATAGTAATTCATCCCTCATATAGTATTTCATCCCTCATATAGTATTTCATCCCCCCATATAGTATTTCATCCCTCA